AGTAGTAAAGGAGTCCCAAAAAGATGGGGCAAAATCAGGCCTAGTGAGGCTATGGTTGTAGGAGCACAGGTCTTGCCAACAGGGGCTGAACTCCAGGACAATGTTCGGGACCATCCCTCCTGAGGTGTCCCAAGGTGCCCTCAGCCGGAAGCAGAATCCTGGTTTAGCTGAACCCTGGGGCAACCCTATTGTGGCATTTCTTCTATTTTTGCATTCCTTGTGCTTTGACAATGAGATGATTGTGTGGATATTACAAGAGGTGATTATCTCCATGGGCACTGAGCCTGTTTTAGCGCAAAGACCTTGCTTTGCCAGAGCCGAGACTTCTGAGGTCACAGCTAAGTTGCCAATTCTAGAGAACCTCTGACAAACCTCAAGGCCACTGGGAACCCTGCTCTTTGCAGGATGGCTTCTTTTAAAAGATAAGCTACACTAAGTAGGTGCTGGGCAGATGGTAGCCTGGACTTGAGAGAGCCTCAATTCAGGGACAGTGCACTACACGTCTGTGTGTGCCTAGCTCGATGGGTAGGGATTTGAGGGAAGAGAAAAAGGCAGCCTGTGCTATGAAGCGATAACAGCTCAGAAACGGAGCTGGATTCTGGATTCTGTAAAGCCTTTTATCCCAGATCTCTGTGGGAATGGGGGTGCTTGGTGAAGCTCACGCCATCACAGGGGGCAGGGGCAGAGGGCACAGAGCTTGCTTGATTCTGTCATGATTTAAAGCATTAAGATGGATACTGAGAGGGAAAGTTTCAAGAAAAGAGAAACAAAATATTACTGATGCTTCTACGGGTTACAACAAACATGTGGCATAAACGGTCTGGAACCTCAATCAGAATGTGTTCAGCAGTTACACATTCTTAGTTGGATTTAAGTCATTCTGTGAATGCTTCATCTCAATGCTTATAAGTGAACTTCTTGGCTGTGAGGCAATAGTTGGGGAATTTAAAATGTATAATATTCCACAGAGGCAGGCAGAAGCTATGCAGACAGCCAGTGGTGTTTTTGTCTTTAAGAAGGATGTGTGTGTGTGTTTTGTTTGTCTGTTTGCTTGTTTTGAGATAGACTCTTGCTCTGTTACCCAGAGTGCAGTGGTGCAATCTCGGCTCACTGCAACTTCCGCCTCCCCGGTTCAAGCAATTCTCCTGCCTCAGCCTCCCAAGTAGCTGGGATTGCAGGCGCCCACCATGGTACCTGGCTAATTTTTGTATTTTTAGTAGAGACAGGGTTTCACTATCTTGGCCAGGCTAGCCTCGAACTCCTGACCTCACGATCCACCCACCTCGGCCTCCCAAAGTGCTGGGATTACAGGCGCAAGCCACCGCACCTGGCCTTGTGTGTATTTTAATAAGAAAGCCTACAGAGATGAGCACAGGCCAATGAATAGGCAAAGTGTCCAAGAAGAAAAGAGCTTATCTTAGAGGGAGAACTCCTTGGTCTCATTGCCTTTTTGCTGCCAGCTTCCCTTGACCATCTTCCTGTTTTTTCCTAGGACTCCCTTTACCATAAATAGGATAGCCATGCATTCCTCTCCTGTCTTGCAAGGACTGTCGGCATAGGTGCTGAGTCCTAGGAAAGAGCAAGCATTCTAGAAATGGTGCCTCCTACCCTGTGGTTGCCTGGCACCTAGATGACAATCCCTGAACCAGATTGTCAGTAACCAACCCCAGTGCTTCACTTTGAGACATTGGCCTACTCAACCAGGAAGGGTTTCTGGAACTGCCCCTATTAAGGAAAAGAAATGTAATATGCAACTTGACTTTAAAAACCCAGGAAGCTCTAACACTCTATCAAGTTCTTAAGACTTTTTCTTTGCTCCATAATCCTTGGCCAAGTTCAAAGGTGAGCACTTTCCCAGAGGCTCATTAGGAATATGTTTACTTCATACATTTTGAGGTTGCAAAGTTTGATTCCATTTTGCTTATTTGGAAAGAAATAACTTTTTTATGAACAAAAAGGAGGAGGGAACAGGGATTGAGACAAGGGTAAAATGTGAAAGAGAAGAAAAAGGTGCTTAGAAGACTGGCCTGGAAGGCAGACTTGTGTTCTGAACATTTTCACCTCTGATTTGCTCTGAAGAGTTACAATGGGAAGATATTGTACATTTCACCTTTCTGAACCTCCAAGACCCACCGTGTCCTCCCCACTGTTCTGAGTGAGTGCTGAAGGTGTGTTCTGATGGTAGATATGATATGTACTCGTGTTTTCACAGAGGATGCTACATAAATAAAGTGTAGTGACATGTATAACCAGGACTTCTGAGTTCTGTACTGGGAAGGAAATTCAGCAGAGAGCTCTGTGAAGGTTTGTGGTTTGCTGCTCTCAAGCGAGGAGGTCATAAACTGGCCCATCAAGGCAGGCCATCACTGACTGGGTGATGGGCAGCCATTCTCAGTGACTGGTTGAGGCCAGGGAGTTCAAGCTTGCACTTCATCTGTCATTTCCATCTCATTTCCTCCCCTAGAATAAAGCAGCAGATCTACATCTAAACAGCCTGCCACCTCCCATGTTTGGTTAATGAAGAGTGGTATGGGGGGAACTGGTCGTGGGGGCAGAAGTCCGTCATGCCTCCACCTGTCTCACCTGCCAGCGTGGCCTCTACTCATTCTTCAAGACCCACTCAAACTCTTAGCTCTCCCTTCTTCCAGGAGGTGCCCCCAATTTCCTGGCCGGGGTGACCTCACTTACTATCTACACCACTCTTTTGGCACTTAGCAGTCTCTGCCAAGTTTTGTTAAGTCTGTTTTTACCTGTGTAAGCCAGGGTCACTAACAGCCCAATCTGCATATGGACCCTGGGGGACCATGGGATAGTTAGACTGGAAGAAAAATTTGAGGCTGTTGCCAAGTTTTCTCAAAACCTAAGTTCAGACAATGGTGGCGAGGGATTACATGGAGCCCCCCTGGAGGTGGGTTAACATTTGGGAGCAGAGAATTCACCTTTGATAGAGGGCTGGCTCAGGAGGCATGAGGCAATACTAAGCTCTTCCCAAAGACTTGGCAGGAGGGCTCTGGCGGGGCCTCCTCTGTGCACTGCCCTCTGGAGGTGGAGCTGAGACCACCACCAGGGTGCCCACAGCTGTTCAAAGCCGAACAGGGCAGAACAGTGTTTTTCCACAAGTCACTCAACAGATGACTTTTTGTGTGTGCCTACTCTGTGCCAGGGGCTATATTCTAATGGAATTGTCATCCAAGGACATATGGGAAGCTGGTTTGAGCCTCTTTATAGCTTCCATCCACACTGCCGGTTTTAGATATGTTTTATAAACTTTGTCCCACCTTACATTCCAAATAGGTAACTTTTGTTTTTCTGCAGTTCAACTTTAATTTAAATATTAATGGCAGTGTTCCAAGCTTCAGAATTCATGGATTTTGTAAACAAGTCTGAGCTCCTGTCTAAAGTCTCTGTGGTTCTAAACAGTATATAGGTCGCTGTCAATCTCCTCACTACTCTGGTCCATTCTAAAATCTCTCTTCCTATATTCTCACTGCCCATACCACCTAGCTTTTAATTTCTAATATTCTCTAATTCTCTAATACTCTCCAGTATATTAATGTCCTCTCCTCACTTAGATTATAGCTCCTTGAGGGCAGGGACCACATATTCTACTTTTTCTCTTTTTCATTATGCCAACACAGGGTTGGACACGGCAGGCATTTAATACATATTCAACCATGAAATCATGGCACTTTAGAATAAAGAAAATGTTAGCATTTATCCAGTCGAATCCCTTCATTGTACAGATGAAGAAACTGAGACCTGGAGGTTGAAAGTCATGAGCTCAAGGTCAGCACAGCCCCTCCTGGTCCTGAAGCTGAGACCAATGTTTACGGGCAGTAAACCATTACCTACTGACACAGGTACAACAGTGATCCACATTTTGCAGTTGAGGAATCAGAGGTACAACGTGTTTAAGTAACTTCTCCAAGATACCACAACTCGTAAGTAGTAAATCTAGGACTGGAACCCAGGCAATCTGGCTCCAGGGCCTGCAGGCTTACCGCCTCCCTCTCACTTCTCCTCTCCGGAACCCCTAAACCATTTCCCCTATTTCCATATCAGGGTATTTACTATCTCCTGTCTTGAGTATGATCACCTATATGCTCGTCTTACCCCTACCTGTCCCCTACTAGACTATACTTCCTATGGGCAGGAACAAAGGTGTCTCCTTTAATTTTCTGGGATCTTCAGCCCAGTGCCCTTCCTACAGTGGGTGCTTAGTGAATAGAACTCCAAATATGCACAAATGAAGTATGCTAGGGTAGAAGGCAATCCATTTCCTCCTCCTAAAACACTGTGTAGAACTTTAAATACTTGTTTTTCCCCATGGAGGAGATAGGAATCTATTGGGAGTACAAATGCGTTTGTCAAGGCCTCTCCACCCTGGCCAAACGTTGCCCAATTCTTGCACAACCTTAAAGTCACGTGGGAGGCTCATCCCCCAGGCAGGTGATCTAGCCACTCCTCTCTGCACCTATTCATCATGGTTTTTACCCCCATTTTCTTTCACTCTGTATAGAAGACTTCATCCTGGCTCCCATACTTAAGTTAGGCCACTCCAGGAAATCTTGATAGTCTAATTCCCTTGTTATTAGGCAGTTGAGATTGGAAGCTTAAAAGAGAAAAGCAGATTCCCCACTCCCCTACTTCTCCCAAGAGCATAAGTTGGTTCCCTGCTGGTGGGAGAGTCAGCAACAACTACAAGATTCCAGTGTTTCCCAGATTCACACAGGAGGGGGAACTAGGCTAACCCCAGGGGCAACTGATGCCTAGAAGGAACTGACCCAATCCCAGCAGCACAGAATTATTTCCATTTCACATTGAATGCCACTCTTTTCTCAAATATTCAAAACAGCATCCACAGTATTCCAAGGCTGCCCCTTATGAAGAATAACTGGGTGCCATAATTATGATTTTCTTTGCAGGAAGTAATCACTACAGCTTAGCTATTTTCTGTCTTCAGGATTTAAATAGGGTGAAGGTAAGGGGCTTTCACTAACCTTGTATATAGCAGCCTTCTGTTTCTTCTTTGTGTCCCTGTTTTAAAAACAAAAAGCCCTAACATGAGTTCTAATGATCATCATGGTAATAGGATTTCAAGTTTTTCACCAAATTTTTTATCCATGCAGCAGCTATGGATGAATATAAAACACCCTGGAAGTGAGCCTGCACGTCCCAGTGGAGCTTTCTAGTTGGCAGGAACAGAGAAAATGGTTATGGAACTCCTCCTCCAACACCTGCCTGACATCACCAGCACAAAAGCCAGAATTCTCCTGCTAAGCAATGGAAAGGTTGACTAGCTACCATACAATTACCCTGCACTGATCTTATCCTGCCTGGATTCTCAGTTGAACTAGTAGGAGGTCACCACCAAAGTGAGTCATGTCATCCTTCGCCTGCCTACAGGATACTCTTACACCGAGGCTATTAGGGCTTTTACCATGAATGAAGCACACCCTTTGGTGCCTCTCCTAGTCCCTCAGCCTCAAGGAAATGCCCACAGTGGCAGAATTTTTCTTTATGCTCTTTTGTATGTTCTTGCTCCCATCTCCAATGGGTAGGACAAAACAGTTCTCTCCCCAAAAGGAACTATTTAAAAAATTCCCAAGGGCATTAATATTCTAATGTAATACAATACTGGTTTTCAAATCCCATATTATCTAAGACTCTAGCCTAGAACATACAGAGCACTGCCCACTGGAGAGTACTGGATCCAACAGGCCCAGGGGAACCTTCCTCGCTGTGCTTTTTAAGCAGGGAAGTGGATTCCTCCCAGGGTCCTGTCCTTAGGAGATTTCCCTGCTCCATCTGGAAAGGTCAGCTCACCCTAAAGATACACTGGACCTTTTTTCTTCTCTTTTGATGTTAAGAGCTACACAACATACTTAAATATTAAACAACATCTCTATCAATGGGGAACTGCCCAATCCAACAGTATAGCGAAAGCCTGTGCCCAAGCTGGGTGAGATAGAAGAAAGAAAGAAAGGCTGTGAGATGGGCTCCAACCCAATTCATTTTCAGTGTAGAGCAGAAACACCAACCACTTCTGGATTTCTCTATTCTCAACATTTAACAAAATGGCTCCAAACGGAGGACTCTGTCTCTCCTGTTAAGCCTTTTATAAGGTGCAGTTAGTTTCCCACTTACGTAACTGCTTTTAATACGTGCCTTGAAAACTTAGGTGGAAAAAGTTTGGCATCTAGGGGCAGCTCGAGGATGAGCATTTTCATCCTGGCCAGGCTGCCACAGTCTTGCCCCAGTCTATATGGCATATCACAGCCAAACGGGGACATAAATGCTCCCTCTAACTGTGTCTTGGTTTGGCCAGAGATGGCCTTAAACCAGTCTGTTCTCAGGGTTACTGTTCCCTACCTCCAGCATGCACCTATGCTTTGTATTTTCACAAGCAAGATTTGTAGTTTCAGATGATAAATATTTATTGGGCATCTACTGCCCATGGGCCTTGCTAAGAACTGTGGGGTGCGCGAGACATATAAAAACGTAATTTGGGCTGGGTGTGGTGGCTCACGCCTGTAATCCTAGCACTTTGGGAGGCCGAGGTGGGTGGATCATGAGGTCAGGAGATCAAGACTATCCTGGCTAACATGGTGAAACTCTGTCTCTACTAAAAATATAAAAAATTAGCCAGGCGTGGTGGCAGGTGCCTGTAGTCTCAGCTACTCGGGAGGCTGAGGCAGGAGAATGGTGTGAACACAGGAGGTGGAGCTTGCAGTAAACCAAGATTGCACCACTGCACTCCAGCCTGGGTGACAGAGCAAGGCTCCATCTCAAAAACAAACAAAAACCCCATAATTCATCCTGCCCTTGCTTTTAAGCTGCACAAACAGCAAATGAGACAAGAGGTTGCCCTGTATACACAGTAACCATAGACTAAATATTTGTTGTTGGTGGTGAGACCAGACATTGTATGGGCTGGTAGAAACACGCGAAAGATCATGGTGGGTTATTTCAGAAGACAGGAGAATCACACCCGATATAGTCAGTTTCCTTCAATTACTCATGTGTATCTTTGTAAAATTCTGTTTTGACTTCCCTGTGGAAAACAGATGAGCAAGTGACATAGGGGCATAATAGTTGCAATATCTGATACAATTCACAACTTTCAGAGGAAAGAAAAGTCTTACTCTCTTGATGAGTTTGGTCAGTTTTTACCAGTCTCTTATGCCATAAGAAGAGAAGCAAGACATCAATCTGTGGATGACTTTGGGACTCAGAGAGGCTCTGTAAATTCAAGGTGTTATTCCCTATTCAGTCTTGTTTATTTCTTCCATCCATTTGTTAAAAGACCTCATCAGCTGTGGACACCGTTGCCTCTGGCACCTACTTTATTTTACCTTTCTTAACAACTGTTTATTGAGCACTATTTTATATCCATCACCAAACTTAGCACCAAATAGTAGAATAACTATTTTTAGAATAAAATGTAGCATATATGAATTAGACAAAATATAGCAGCTTTAAAAAGTCTCCTCATTAACTTCGTCTAGATTTTTAAACTTTTCAAGGGTAACGGCCCCATGTTGCCTGTGTGCTGACTGTAGACTCTAGTTATGATCCATGAGGTTGCCATACAATTTGGGAGTGCTGTGCTTCACAGAACCCACAGTCTGCCACCCACTTCCTTCCGAGGCAGATAAGACTGGAGCTCACGCAAGGTTTGTTTTCAGCTGTTAATAGATTGATTCCTTGGTAATGTCTCCATTTTAGAAAGGCCATACAGGTTAGTACAGAAATTGCAAACTTCAGCTCCCACTGACAGGTAGGTTTAGCTATCAGGAGCAGTGTGTGAAAGATTCCGAAGACACCTCTGGGCTCAGAGGTGCTGTAACTGATTAATATTGCCTGTTTTGGGGGTGGACTGGGTGAGGGAAGCACAAGTGGTATCTATGCATTTGCCATCCCCGATATAATGGAAACAGCAGAAGCTTTGGAGTGAGGCCTCTCAGCTTCAAATCTGGGCTCTGGCTCTGTCTGCAAGACCTGAGGCAAGTCATTTGGCCTCTCTACATCTCAGCTCCTCATCTATAAATGGGAATAATATCTATTTCACAGGCTTGATGGAAAGCAGTGGTTCTCAAAGTGTGGTCCAGGGATGAGCAACATCAGCATCATCTGGGAACTTGTTAGAAATGCACACTCTCAGGCCCCACCTCAGACCTGGGGGCTGAGTAAGAAATTCTGGGGATGAGGTCCAGCAGTCTGAGTTTTAATAAGCCCCAGGCAGTTCTGATGCACACTAAGGTTTGGAACCCCTGTTGTAAAGAGTCACAAATAAGTCCTGCAGTACTTACAAGGATAGAAGTTATGTTTTATCAGTCATGACTGATGTAGTCATCTGCCACACAGTGACTAGCAAAGCCTGGCTTATAGCAGGTGCTCAATACATTCTAACCTCTTTTTCTTGTAAAAATATGAGCTGCCAGCATAAGAACCTAGCGGGTGGGGAAGAGAAGGGGTTTGTGTATTGTTTCAGGTGGAGAAATTAGCGAGTGCGGTGGTTCAAAGACTTAAGCAAATGCTTGGCAAGATGTCTGGGAGATTTCCTCCCCCAAGAAGAAGGAAGTAAGTGGGCCCAGGATTCTGTAGCAGCTGACAACAATAATTATTCTCAGGGAAGAATTTCAGGGAAGGGTACCTATACATCACCCAAATCAGGAAGGATTCAGATCCAGCCCACAGCAAGCTTGCCTTAAACCTCATTCAGAGAGTTGAAGTTACTTAAGTCCCAAAGGCCTCTATTTAAAATAGTTTCACATGCTCCACAGGACGAACTGAAAATAGGTCTACTGATGTGCCTGTACTATATCCTATATACCAGGTATTATATACAATAAACTTATGGTGCCTCCATCCTTCTCTCCCTGACACCCTTCTCTCCCAAATATCATGATGTTGATACAGTCTTTGTTTGCCTCACAGGTATAAACAACAGGGCAGTGATTTCCATTCCTGCTCAGGCTGTTGTGGGGGTGCCGGGGAAAACAGGCAATATGTTTATAAAGACAAGTCACTAATCATTAGGAAAATGCAAATCAGAGCCACAATGAGATACCACTTCACACCCACTAGGATGGCTGATATCTTAAAAAAACAAAACAAAACAAAACAAAAACAGAAAACAACAAGTGTTAGCAGGGAAATGAAGAAACTGGAACTCTTATGCACTGCTCATGCAAATGTACAATGCTATGGCTGCTATGGAAGACGGTACAGCAGTTTCTGAAAAAAAATAAACACAGAATTACCATATGATCCAGAAATTCCACTTCTAGGTCTACACCCAAAAAAACTGAAAATAGGGACTCAAATTGTACACCATGTTCACCATGATTCACAACACCCAAAGGTGGAAACAACTCAAATGTCCCTTGACAGAAGACAAGATAAACAAAATATAGTGTCTACACACAATAGGATATTCAGCCTTAAAAAGAAATAAAATTTCGAATACATGTTGTAACTTGGATGAACCTTGAAAACATTATGCTAAGTGAAATAAGCCAGACATAAAAGGACAAATATTTTATATGTCTATATATACAATCTACTTGGAATAGTCATATTCATGGAGAAAGTAGAATAGTGGTTATCGGGGACTGGAGCATGTGGGGAAGAATAAAGAGTTATTATTTAATGAGTACAGAGTTTCCATTTGAGATGATGAAAAAGTTATTGAGATGACCAGTGGTGATTGTAGCCCAACAATGTGAATAGACTTAATGCCATTGAATCGCATATTTAGAAATAGTTAAAATGGTAAAAAAAATTTTGTTAGGTATATTTTACCACAATAAAAAAAGAAGATTTAACCACCTTAACCCCACTACTACCAGCAAAGAAAAACAACAACACAATGCAAAGCTTCTACAGTACTCTTAAACTAAACTCTTACATGAAGTAAGTATCTTGAATAGAAAAGACTCCAAAACCTCTCCCTGCTTGAAATCTAAGATGATAATGGCACGGGCAGACAGTTTTCTTAATGTACTTTCATCTGCCACACTCCAAGCATATCTGCTGTGAAAAAGAGACACAGCTGAAAACGGAGATTTAGCTCTGGCTGTCCAGTGTGTTCATCCAGTGGCTTCAAAATCCCTATTCTCCTTTCCATTAATGAAGGTTTGCTTCGATCTTTCCATTAGCCCACAAACTACTATTAGAAAAGCCATTTATCAAATTAACACTGAGTACTGCAAAAGTCATCTGCAAGCGGCGTGCACTTTTCCACGTAGGAGTTGCTATGCCAACAGCTGCTCCATGTGCATTGTACAGAAGTAGCCATTTCAACAAAGTCCTGTTCAACAATTCTCAGGACCAATTCAGTCTTACTGTCCCTTTGCACTCCCCAAATGTGCACACATGGCAAGGACCCCACCAGAATCAGGTAATGACCAACTAAGGGAGGAATTACAAAATAACAAATGTCTGCACACCGAAAATTTTTGAAAAGCAGGCAACAATTAGTTCCTCTCTTTAACTTGTACTCCTACTCCCATCCTCATTCCTCGGGAATACAGAGTCAAGGAATTTGATGTAATAAGAGTCTGGCCAGTAATTCTAGAAAAAGGAGTCCAGGGTGAATAAATTGAAGGAAAGACTATAATTATTCAAATTGTTGTAATAAGTCATTTGCCTGAAGAGCAGACAACTATAAACAAAATGAGGCAAAATCCTCGCATTCTGCTGTCGCCAAATTTTGTTGCAAATTTTTGTTTTAAAAGATGCCTGGGAACTCTTAAATATGTTTAAACTGACTGGCATTATCATGCTTTCCCACAGAGACAAAAAATTCTGAAAAAGAGAGCTTAGGAAACGATTTGTCTTGACTAAACAGTAAACTTTACAAGCAATTCCCAGCCACAAGCGATCATCCCCAGCCTCATACTATAACTTCTGATTAAATCAAACATTCAATTCAGTTTAAAAATGAATCAAAGAAAATAAGCAAATGCCACAGACACCTGGCTCCAAAATGAAGAGGAATCACCAGAATATCAAAGTTTATTGTAAATCTATGCCACACTTCCAACCACGATCAGCAATGGAGGAGAAAAAGCTAATCACAACCCTTAAAAATATACCATTTCCAAGGATGAGACAGAAACACTGATAGCACCTTTTTCAGCTAAACTAGTTGGGTTTTTAAAATAATCTTCCAACTGTCAGCAAATCTGAATGATACTTTCTTTAAAGTTTTCAATATCATGGAAACAATTGTATAAAGAAGAAAGAGTGCCTTTTTAAAGATACAGATTGTGTCATAAAATTTCAGGAGGACAATAACTAATTAAAATTAAAAATAGAGCTTATTTGAAATCTTGGTCACAGGAACACCACTGAAGAAAAACTTGTTCTCCCAGCTAGCAGCTCCTGGCTCAAAGCAATACATATATGGGCCACACTGGAGGATCATTTTACCCAGAATAAGGTCTGGCCCAGCCCTGGAAGCTGTCATCATTGCAGCCTCTTCCTATGTAATCAAGTGAATTATTCTAAGTCTAGAGAA